AATGTGCAACATCGGCGAGAAGGATGAAGGTCAGTGCGAAGGCCAAGACGCACCGTTTTGCATTTTCTTGATTTAGGGGAAGGGAGGCCTACTGACAACTCTCTCTTAACAGACACCTAGAGTTGGTCCCTGCTGTCCTTTTCGTTAACTCTGTATAAGGCAGAGGCTTTGTATGAGATTCTGGAAACTGCTTCTACCTACCCCTCCCCTAACCCAAACGTTTGCCCTAAGAAAGACGTTAGTGTTAACGTTAGGTCACGAGAAGTGTAGGTGGGTTAGACGGCCACAGAGAGTTGACTGTACTCTCAATACAATAAAAAAGATCAAGGAGATTACAAGATTACCTGCGAGAGGAAGTATGGCCATTCCGTAAGCTTGAGTAAAGAGACCATACTCGTGAAATGCTTCCAACTCCAAACCAAACTTACGCCAGCTGTGAATTGAATGCACAAAGAGGGCTGCTAACGTCGCCTCGAGACGGGTCATCCTTAATTTACGCAGACCAATGAACCACGACCAGGGCATCGATGCCAGAAGAAGAACGAACATCCAACGGAACATTAGCAAAGGCGAGATAAACCTTCAGAAAGAGGAGCAAGTATCTCAGTTATCGTATGCTTGACAGTCGTTCGGGCGAAAATGATGAAGGTGGTGACGCAAAAGTATAGCCAAATATCTCACACTTACCACTTTTTCTCGATTATTTTACTCAATTCCGCCTTACAAATTTGCTCTAGGTTTCACATTTTAAACTCTTAAAATACGTTTTGTAGCCGCATCTAAGAGGAAGGCTTGCCCTGACGTTTTTAAGTCTCGAGTTAAAAACTATTTACTTTGCGCCAATAAAGGTTATCTGTTTGTGACCTCCGAAAATAAGTCGTTCACGCGACCACGACGTTCCCTCTCCCATTTCAAGTTACTCAAACATGTATTAACTTGGCATCATTTATTTGATTTGTATACATGTTCCATAATGTAGTTTCCTTGGGCAGGATTTTACAGGGCTGAAAATAACAGTCGGTGTCCTTCATCGGGTAATGCTTAACTAAAACTGGCCCATGCCTCACGAAATCATAACTATGGTCCTGACCAAGTTAATATCAACGACTATCATAGAGAAGAGAAGTGTGAGGTCCCAGAAATTCAAATTTGTGAATTATGAGACTGGATAGCATATTTAGAAAGAACAAGGTGAAAACACCCCCCTTGCTAAAAATCAGCCTTCTTGTGAAAATTGGCGGGGACATCTAAGTACCTTTATGCTATGACTCCAGTGTAGTCATTGGGGCATAACAATGCTTACATCTCACCGCCAATTTCCTGACTAACAGTCTGATTTTTGGCAAGTGAACATTTCTCATCTTGTTCTTTCTGGACATGCCAACCTATCCCATAATTTCACAAAATTAGCTTTTGTGACGTCATCACTTCTGTTCTCTATTTTTCGGAATAACCAAGCCTTTCATTCACAGTTTTCGTTAAAGACGCGCAATCCGTTGATTGAGTTCGACATATTTTTGTTTCGTCTGACCCAAATGGTGACTTACCTGGACATCTGTCCTTTCAAGAAAGATAAATTATTTGGAGCTCTGGTATCTGTGGTATAGGTAAGTTTGTTGTTTTTCTTATAGGATAAATTCCTCAAGCTAGAAAAAAAAAGTGTAGCTCGTCATCCAAAAGAAAAAAAAAATTGGACAAAAAACAGTGCCTTAAGTAGAAATCCCGGCTGAGTTCTACTTCTCTTAACAATTCAGACGACGACTTATGTCCCAAAACGGAGGTTAAGAATTTTAATAGTTTTGCAACGTGGCAAGCTGCCCGAACGTTGCCACCGAAATCGCCCGTTTTAGGCGCGAAAACCAAAACGGAAGCAGTTACATATCAAAGAATTCCACCCGCAAGCCGCTGATGACCTCACACGCAAATAATCATACATTCCTTGGCGTGGATGTTAAACTGCAATTTAGAAGGAAAACAAGGCGGTTTCTCACGACAAGCCCGATCTTAAAGAGAGGTTTTTGATAAGTTTCTATAGATTTGCTTTAATCGATAAGTTTACAATAAAAGTGTTTTGTAGTACATTAAAAGGTTTCACACGTATTTAAGTTCAAAACTTCTGATTTTCAGTTGAGATCCAGTTTGAAAATAAGCGATTGTTATGTTAAATACCGTACCAAGAATCTCAATTTTAAGCCACTTTTGACCTTAGAAGCAGGTATTCACTTTGCATCGAAATTCAAGTACGTCAAGGAAGAAAAAATGGAGGTTTCTCACGACACAAGAAAGGGGCTTCCGTCTGGAGTCTCTATAGATTTGCTTTGGTTCTTAAACTACTTCTAAGGTCATTAAATTCTTTCACAAGCATCAGTTCAAAGTTCTAGTTGAGATCAGATTAACACTGAGCGTTTGTTCTGCTACATCAGTACAACGTATCTCAATCCATATTAAATCCGGAAAAAGTAAACATGGTCAAACATGGAAGCCCATGTAGCTTGTGAAGACTGCAGTTCAGAAAACCATTAAGCGCTATTTTAAGTGATTTTAAGCCAAGGTTAACCTTTTTAAAATAACAAAGTATTATTTCGTTTCAAAACAGTCAACTTGTCGCTTAGTTTGCAGACCACTCATTCCCACCAAAGAGACGTACAGATTACACGCAATATTATAAAAGTTCATATCTATTTCTGTGACAGAAAATTCGTCTTCAAACTAGAACGCGAAATTCAATGTCCTTTCTCGTATATCCTAAAACTGCAGTAAAATTCACCACTTCGGCGACCTGTGCTCGGCGGTCATGTGCCAAGCTGTAGTGAATTAGTTAATGTTTATGGTCGTTCTAAGGTTAAAGTAAGCTAGAAATTTGCACGAAATATTATTTACTCTCTGTTTTCGCCATAAATCGCCTCTTTCACCCTGGTTGTCGAAAAGATATGAAGCCTACCTTGAAATGTCGTGTGCAACTCCAAATTCCATTACGATATCTACAATTCTAGGCAGCCATTTAAAATATTTCAGAACCTTCATGTAATATTGCATTCTGACTACCAGTGCATAATTTCAGGTCGCCAAGAGGCGACTTCATTTGTAGAAGATGAGTTTGGAGCACTGCAAGAGTCTACGTAGCTGAAGTTTACTCGAAAATAAAGGTTAACCGCGACAAGAAAGGAGGAAACCATAGGCTGTTAAACAGGGATGCGACCCTGAATATAAGACTCTTTTGATGCAAAGTCTATTTTAGCCTCAATAAATCAAGAATAGTACGGTCAAAGTCGAGCTCTTAAAAGAAAAGAAGGAAATCGTGAGTCAGGAGCGGGAATAAAACTGGTGACCTTTCTTACTCACCAGCTGGAAAGCTGCGATTTCATAAAAAAAGTCAAAAATCTAAAAGATCAGAGGTTCAATTTCGGTCGGGGAATTGCAATTTTTACCCCCTTTTTTCCTGATTACGACATTCAGCAGTATTCCTTATTTACTAATTGCTGTACAACAACTATAATAATACAAAAAATCAAGAATTGAAGTTGGTTTTTAAATGTCAGACGGAGGTCTATCATCAAACACAACACTTTTCAAGTAACAAACGTACCACTTAATGCTTCAAGGAAACGAATGTTCCGCTAAAAACTATGGACTAAGCATAAATTCAAAGTCCCTGAAAGCAAGACAGACTAAAGAACAGTGATATATATAGAAATTTACAACTGAAAGTTTTAGCCACCACATATTTCAATTTTTGTCCTTTTACAATGGCCTAGTGTGTGTTTTTCCTGTCAGAAAATTGTATCGATATCCTAAATTACGTAACGCTTTTCACAATTAAGCCATTGGGCTACTAAAATATAACAAACAGAGTACCTACCTATCATGCAAGCAACAAATAGATGCTAATTTACTTTTAGTTTTGCTTCCAACTCATTCCTATTTACGCTCCCTTGACAGTTCAGTGGAAATTCAACTTATTTCAAATTTGCCAATGACCAAGCATAGGCGACTGTAAACTCGGGAGTTCAACTTGAATGGAAACAAAGCAAAATACGAGCTCACGAAAAGCTACCGCATAAAACAAGCTCAGTCAATGACTGATATGTAAGAACACAAAAGCATTTTGGGTCGTGACAAATTCTCAAACTCAAAGACAAAGTCAAGATTCAGACAACACGAAAAGTCGCTCAACAGCGCCCAAAAAGTAACTGCGGCTTCCACAAGACTTCAAAGCTATTCAACAAGTTCCTAACAAGTTTCATTAAGATGGACTCCAACCTTACAGACATCAAGTCGCCTCTACTCCTGGTTCGTTCTAAAGGTGTAGACAAATTGCTCAGTGGTTTAAACATTGGTGGACTGGGAGCCCAAGGTCCCGTGCCATATCAGCCGATATATCTCTTCGCGACGAGACTGCAGCAAAATATGTATCTCTGGCAAAATTTTTACCCATTTCAATCTGCTCACACAGAACATTCCCGTTTTCGAAAAAAGCGAAAAGGAACAAGTCTTTAACTATCGCTCCATCTCTCTGACAGGTCTTTTGGTAAAATCCCAACTAAAGTTCGACAACATCAATCAATTTCTGCGTTTATAGAACTCAACATGGACATTTCAGTCACACTGGCATGGCGTCCTCGCTACTCCTACCCATCGCAACTAACCCATCTTTTGTCCCATTTGAAACCCACCACAAGCATCTTTCCGACAAATTAGGTCATGTCCAACGTAATACATCTAGACTGATCGAGGGGAATGACACGTCATTTGAGAATCGGCTAAAAACTCTTAATTTTCCCACTTCATATCTAAGTAAAGATTACCTCGGTTTTGCTCAACTACTTCAATTTATCAAAAGTGACTTTATTGCAAACCTTGAACATTACATGTCCTTTAACAAAAGGGAAATAAGACACAGAGCCATCGTTAAAAGCGTTGAAAGCTCGACTGTCGAGCCAACGTTAATTCTCAAAAACACTTCTTGGTTTAGATACACTAATTGTAAAAATCTACATGCCTTAATAGTCGAATGTAACGCAGTTTATAGTACAAAAAAGGGTTTAAGAATTCTTATATGACGGTAATTAGTTACTACAAATTTCAGATCTAGTATACATGTTTCTCTGTGTTACTCGTGTATTTCACAGAAAAAACAGTTACGGTATCACCATTTCATTGTACTGTATGTTGAAAGCTCCCAAAATTTCACTTGAGTTCCAGGTTGAAAATAGAGTGACTGTTTTATTAGGAATTTTAATTTTGAGCCGCCGTTGACCTTACACGCACGTATTTCATTGCTTCGCGTGGGTATTATATGCACGCCATACTCGAGTCAAAAAATCAAGTAAAAAAGGGCGTCAATTTGAGTTTCTTTTGATTTGCTTTGACAGTTTTACAATGAAAGTGTAGAAGTGTAAAAGTGCTGCTTGCGTCCGGCATTAAATTCTTTCACACTAGCATTGGTTTATAGTTCTAGTAACGATACAGATTAAAAATGAACCCGGCTTTGTTCCGTCACCTGAAGTAGCACGTATCTGTCCATATTAAATCCGGCATAACTAAAGATGGTCAAAGATGGAGACACATGCGGTTTGTGAAGACCTCAGTTCAGAAAACCATCAAGCGCTGTGTCAAGTGATTTTAAGCTAAGGTTTTTTTTTTTTTTTTAAGCATTGTATCGTTTTAGAACAATCACCTTGTCGTTTAGCTTGACCTCTCAGTCCCAAAGAGACGTACAGATTAAACGCAATATCAACGTACACAGTTATTGCCGACACAGAAAATTCATCGTCAAACTAGAACACGAAAGTCTATGTCCTTCCTTGTATCTAATTTCTAAATTGTCAGAACCCCACTACGTAGTTGAAGTTTACTAGAAAATAATGCATTACAACAAGAACGGTGGAAATCATTAGTAGCTGTTAAACAATTTTAATGGTGGGCACACGTTTGGACTTCAAGGATGCGACCATGGTTTGACTAGTATAAGCAGCACACAGCTTACATTTACAGTGTTACGGGAATTATCAAGCTTCTGTTATAGATTAGGACGAGCAATTAGTGACCACTTGAAATTGACTTCCATTGGACTATACTGGGTGAGTTGCCCAAAGTTTGTACCCCTTGTTTAGTCGATAAAATATTTATTGTGGCATAAAAACTTTCTGGGCTCACTATGCACGAGTCCACTAGCAATGTAACCCACTGAAGTAACATTTTACCCAATTTGCACAAGTTGATTTTTCTACATTTACTTTCGTTTCACCCTGCCTTGTATACAAGCAAACCTCACATAAAAGCGCAGCTGACATTAGTATTTCACCAAGTCAAAAGAAAAAATGACAAACAATTTGGACCACCTGAAAACAAAAACCGACCAAAATTGAAATGGACTGGCCAAAGTCTGAGAACGAGGACAAAGCAATAATAAGTGTCATTGTTTTCTGAAATGTCTTGTACGTAACTAATCATGGCCCTTGCCAGTGTAAGAGGTCTTTTAATTAACGGGTTCCAAAAATTCTAACAAATAAAGCTTCTGCTCAACAAATTAGATATACTGATATTGCGATCATCAGAATGGTCTAATTCCTTCGACCCATATACCCCAATATGTGATTATTTCAAGCTATCGTGGAATTCTTTCAGTACTAGTATGTTTGAGTAGTTTTCTTTAATCGTCAAACACAATTTTAAGCTGAGATGAATTCCTCCAGTCATTAAACAAAATAGACTGTTAACTTGGGAAACGATAACAGCTTTGCGTCCCCAGTGCAAAGTTGTTTGTCACGGAACTAATTTTCACTTCCTCATAAACTAAACACACGGCGTTTCTATCCAAGGTGCAATACATTTTACCACCCTGATGAATTCTTCTCTCAAAGATTATCCTTACCAGACCTTTTAACTGACTGAAAATCTTCCCACGTGCATGGCATTGCCACTGCACAGATTAGGTGATAATTGTTTCAAAGGAATTAAGCCTAACAGGAAGATTTCCCAAGTAAAATTTGAAGAAAAACATCCCTGTGTTTTTAAAAACAAAATAGATGTGACTATCAGGATTTTTAACAAGTTAACGTGAACAATTCTCCTCATTTCAGAGGACAAAAGAAGGTTTCACTATTGCCATTCCTGGGAACAATAAACTTCAGTTATTTCTTTTACTTTGCGGTTTAATTTTTGACTTTAAACATTCTGCGCCTTTTTATTCAGACGACAGGAGAAAGTCCAAGTAATGTGTAACCGGTCAAGGTAACAACTTAATTTAAGTTAAAGTTACGTAAGTTACACTAGTTACGTAACACTGAATAAGAATATATTTAATTAAGAAAATGGACGAAATCTCCTGCGCACAAAAACTTTAAGGAAAGACTGAAATTTTTTGACAATAAAACTGTTTTGTCACCCTTTGAAACTTGCAAGATCAGTAAATGAATATCACTTATTTTAATGTATAATCTGTTTCAAGGATTTTTTTTTCCCTCTTAACCCAGTCGCCACATGAAACTGTCTACATGACGGATTGAATTAAAACAGAGTTTTACTTACAATTCTCCTAAGATCATGAGACTGGCATTAAGCAGACATGGAAGTGGGTGATAGGCAAGAAAGAAAGGGTAGCCCAATGTTAATTCATCGAACCAAAGGTCGGTTGTTCCACCTTGAAGAAGTTCTTTCAAGTAAAGTGCTTCGACTTGATGCGAGTACATATCACCTCCGTCCGCATACCCAGTGTTGCTTGTCAAGAACGGGTTAGAGTTGGAGACCAGTGAGAAGAAAAATGATGAACTCGTAGAAATCAGAACAACGAAGCTCAACCAAAGGGGAATGTCAAACTCTGTCTGAGAATCTTCCTGACGGTCTGTGGCCGTGTCTAATGGATCTTGAGCACCCATCTTCAGTTTTGAGTTTTGCGGTCTACAAAACTTAGTTATGGAGTTGTGACGAGATCTGTCGCCCATCCTCTTTAAATTGGGGATCTGCGAAAAGGGCCAATCGCTTATCATGAATTTTTAAGCATGTCATTCCTTTTCCCACCCACGCAGGAAACGCGCAAGATTCCGGCGTCGACCGGTGTGCTCAAGTTAGACACCTATCAACTCGCACGCGAATTACTGATAATGTGGTCGCTGTGCCATCGTCTATAATCGCGTTCTTAAACATCTGTTGTGGTTTGATTTGTGGCTAGATTCGCGGAATCGGGCAGTTTGATTTCTTCCCGGGAAGTTGGCGGAGTCCTAAATTTCGCCTTTTTCGCAGGAGGTATCCAATTCTGGAGGTCATGACACACTGATGTTACCTTATCCTCTCGTAAATTCACATGTAAAAAGATACTGATCCCCGTGGAATTAATATTCCACCACAAAGAGGGCTGTACTGATAAAAGATTTCCCTTTAGGTGAACTTGCGCTTTTCTGAGTTCATGGTCATAAACATGACGCATAAACTGTTTTGGTAGCACACCGCAGACAAATGGAATATGGAAAAAGTCGTAAAAGCGAAGAAAGAGTACTAACTGAACAGAACAGGACAAATCTCAAGCGGCTTCCGGGGATGAAAGAAATTGTATTCTACTAAGATGTCGTTTGTCCATTTGCCTTTATGGCTAATAAGCTCATGGAGGGTGTTGCTCGTCGAACTGGAGCAAAAATTCGATGGAAATCGGTTCTTCTGGGTAAAGTATAAAAACACTGAATGATGACAAGGCAGAATAGCTAGATTTGATTTGTTTATGTGATTGGCTTAACAGCATTTACGAGTAATTTTAAACAAAATCGTGTATATTATCCCAAAAGTTCAAAAAAGAATTTGGACAAAAAAAACAAACAAACAAACCAAAACAGGACAAGAAATAAAGACAGGTCTCTTCGAGTGTCAGTCAAAACTCTGATCCAGACTTAGGAATAATTCAAGACAGCCTCCATCTTTGCACGCGCGTTAGGATTGATGGGATAAAAGCAATGTCACATGGTATTTCAGGGGGGTAAAAAAGTGATAAAATTTACCCATACGAGCAGACGCGGACGAGTCTGTTCATTCTCTCAAAATGAGACAATTATTTTAGTCACGCAAAATTTACAGTCCAAGTTTTGACAAGTTTTACGTCTTTATTGCTTCCTGTGGAGACATCTGTAGTCGCTACTGCATCCAAAAAAATAACACTGAACACTTCCACCCATAATTGGCCATTATTGTCTTTAAAATAAAAGGTTCCTCATTTACTCTTGTATAGAATAAAAAAACTCGACCACGATTTCTTGTATGGGCAGATTTTTTCAGTCCCCACCCCCATGAGAAACCACGTGACATCACTCCGAAAGCGCCTGCAAAGATGAGCCAAAAATTCTAGAAGGTTAGAGGTTCAATTCCGATCCGGTTAGGAATAATTTCCCTTTTTTTCCGACTAGGATATTTGGCAGTATTCCTTACCTAGTTATTCCTGTATAACAACTATAATTATACAAAAAATCAAGAAACAAGTTTTGTTTTCAAATGTCACAATAAGGTCAATCATGAAAGCACAACGGTAGTAATACGCATCACTTACTGCTTGAAAGAAACCAATGTTTCGTTTAAACAAAGCACTAAGCATAAATTCAAACTCCTCAAGCGCAAAATAAACAACAGTTTTAGTTTTTTTATATATATAGAAATTCACAACTGAAAGTTTTAGCCACCACGTATTTCAATTTTTGTCGCTTGACAATATGCAGTTAATGTGTTTTTCCCGTCACTGTATATTGCATCGATATCCTAATTAATGTAAAGTTTTTCACAATTAAGCCATTTGGCTGCTACAGTAACACTAACAGAGCACCCCATCTATCCTGCAAACAACAAGTAGATGCCAATTTTCCTTTCGTTTTGCCTCCAAAGCGTTGCAATTTACGCTTCTTTGACATAATGGTGTAACTTCGATTAGTTTCAAATTTGCAATCATAAGCGAGTAAACTGGCAAGTTCAAGTTGATTAGAAACAAAGCAAAATACGAGCTCACGGAATGCTACTGGAGAAAACACGCGCACTGAGTCAAAAACGCATATATGTAACCGCAACACGAACATTTGTGATAGATTTTCACACTCAAAGGCAAAGTCAAGATTTAACCACATGAAAAGGTCTAACTAATGGCTTCGACATCGCTTATTCATTTACCGAGGTCCTAACATTTTTCGCCAGGAAAGGCCTCCAACCTTTTACAGATAAATCAAGACACCTCTAGTCTTGCTTTGTTCCAAAGAAGTGGACAAATTGCGTAGTGGTTTAAAGATCTGTTGACTGAGAAAGCCCATGGTCCCAATGGCATGTCAGCCCATATCTTCGTGAAGCGGCTCCAGCAATATAAACATATCTGCCAAAATAATTATCCACTTCAATCTGCACACAAAACTCATTCCGTTTTTCAAAATGGCGAAAAGGAGCAATTCTATAACTATCGCCCCATCTCCCTGACGAATCTCTTGGTAAGATCCCTACAAAGACGGTTCTACAACCAATTTCTGCGTTTATAGAACTCTGCTAATCATCTTAACAGTCACACTGGCTTTGCGTCCTTGCTACTCACATCACAACTAACTTATCTTTCCCACTTGTGAATAAGGGCTGTAGACGAGCGACAAACTATACTGATGTTGTATTTATTCGATCTACTTCGACAGAGATTCCGACTCAGTTCGCACAACAATGTCATTCTAAAGTAAGAAAGAGTTGGTATAACCGGTTCTCCGGCTTCCACCGTGGTTGGCTGATTACCTCGGCACTGCTCATTCTCAACGTCTTGTAATCGAAGAATGTCTATCTGACTGCAGGGCATCAGTCTTGGCTGGAGTTTAACAAGGAAGCATACTAGGCACGCTTTTAGTTATCTTGTATGTTAATTACAGTCACGATCCATCAAGTCCTACTCTCTCGTAATCAATCCTGTTTGTCCCTCCATAATACCTGATACTGTTCAAGAAAGCCTCCAACGAATCTCAGCTTAGTGTTGCACATGGTTGTTAAGAACTAACGCCGACCAAGAAATACTAGTGTATGCTATATGAGAGTGCTTACACCACACAAATATCTTGGAGTTCTTCTCTCTAATGATCTTTTATGAAGATCCCACCCAAGCTTTATCAATCGACGCCAGATGAAACAGGTCAATTAATGGCCATAACTACCCGCACGCTTGCATGGGAAGTGTTCTATAAATGCTTTTTGTACCGAGTACAAATTCATGGTGCGTCCGTAATAAATTACTAGAGTACGCTTGTCCTGTTTGGAACTCGCACCAAGCATTTTTCCCACAAACTCGATCATATCCGTAATACAGTTAGACTGATCGCGGGAAATGACGCTTCATTTGAGCATCGGCTCAAAACTCTCAATTCTCCAACTTTATATATCTCCGTAAAGATTGCCTGGGTTTACTACAACTATTTGAAATTATCAAAAGTGGCTTTCCTGCAAACCTTGAAGATTGCATGTTCTTTGACAAAAGGGAAACTCCTGTATACACTCGTGTATTTCACAGAAAACACAGTTATGGTATCATTTCATTGTACTCATTATCTGATTTCTATTTTTTTTTTCGCTCATTTAAGTTCAAAGCTCCTAAATTTCATTTGAGATCCAGAAAATGAGCAATTGTTATACCAGGAATTTTAATTTTAAGCCGATGTTGACCTTACACAAGCCCTCTTCTCGTGTCGTGACAAACCCGCTTGACTTTTGCTTGAAGTTTTACTTGAATTTTATCATAAAGCCCCCGCGAAGCAATGCGTGAATTCGCCCAGTTTTACTTAATAGTTTAAAACGAAAGTGCTTCCTGGGTCTGGTATTAAATTCTTTCACACGCATTAGTTGAAAGTTCTAGTTGAGATGCACATTAAAATGAACCTTTGTTCTTTTAACTGAAGTGCCACGTATCTGTCCATTTTAAATCCTGAAAAAAGTCAACATGGTCAAAGATGGAGTCACCTACAGTTCCTGAATACTCCTTTCCAGAAACCCATTAAGCGCTATTTTAAGTCATTTAAGCTAAGGTTAACTTTTTGGAAACAACAAAGCATTATATCGTTCTAAAACAATCACCTTGTTGTATAGTTTGACCACTCACTCCCACCAAAGAAACGTACAGATTAGACGCAATATTAACGTTCAATTTATGACCGAGATAGAAAGTTAATGTTCAAACTAGAACGCGAAATTCAATATCCTTTTTCGCATATCCTAAACTGTAACTGTGCCCCCTCTGCCCACTGAAAAATACTTAGTAGCACTCTAACCTCTCTGCATTTGTCTGACTGAATTTATTAGAAGCCAAGGTGGATCCTGACCGTTTTCATAACCCGATAAATGCAACTAAGGCAGCGCTCCAAGCTGCGACCATTTTGGTCACCATTGAGAGAAGAAAAGGAACAACTAAAATTGCAGTAAAAGTCGACAATTTGGCGACCTGTGCTCGGCGGTCATGTGCCGAGCTGTACGCACTAGCACAGGCGGCCCAAACTCACGTTGCGAGGGGAGGGTGTAATGTAATTTACATAACATAGGTGACGCGCCGGTGTCGCGTTACAGGCGACCGTTGAAAATATAAGAGACTTTGTATGAGAAATATATTACTGAGATCTGCGCACGCTAAATAACGCAAAACCTTACTTTTTCTTAAATGAATTGAATAAAAAAGACTTACCTGCAATGTATTCCACTGCGTTTTGGTGTCTGTTTGTCGTTTTACTGTTTTTTTGGCTTTATTGCGTAACCACTGTTACTCCTCTCATAGAAACTTCACTTCGTTCTATGAAAGGAGTAACAGTGGTTACGTAATAAAGCCAAAAAGACAGTTAAACGACAAACAGACACCAAACCGCAG